GGCCAGGTCGATTTTAGAGTTGTGTCCTCTTGTCCATTTCTCTGACAATAAGTTTGTTCTGCTACAGCTGAGTTTAGAATCGTCCTCTTCTTCGAGTCGTTTTCTTGTATAACTCAAATAACTTTCACCAGAAAGTTACTACCGAGGAATAAAAAACTCCAGGAGTGACAACAGCGTAGAAAATTCTCGGTGGAAACAATCGACAGAAGCAACGTGCACACGTAATCCGACGTAGTTGCGACTGTTGGGCTACAAAATTTCCGCGTAGAGTTGTTTACTGTGCCTTTTAATTACGTAGGACCATGCACCTGCACCATTATTCACAAACATCATTTCATACGCTCGCAGATCGAGCTACAAACCAGCTGAGTATGAAAACTATGCGTGGAGGGGGTGGGGTGACTGCAGCGAACTGGCTACAAGACGTAAGATTGTTGTGGTGGCGCTGAATTAATAAATAAACAAACGCCTTGCACGATTTACAACTGTTTCAGGACAGTTTAATCGAAACCTTTTTGACTCTTCGTTATTTTTATTATGTCTATTTGATAGTTATGTGAAATTAATAGGTGGCACGATGCGTAAGAGGTCGGCTTCGACCGCTTTAGCAGCAATCGCTGCCTAATCCATGAATTCTCATGAGCAAGGAATCTGGAACGTGCTGCTTCAGAACGGGGTTGCTCAGACGGTAGAGAGCTGATGCCCATGTGCAAGTCATCAGCCAGGAGTACGTTATTTTAATTAAAGGCAGAGTCTACAGCCATGTAGCAAGCGTAGCCTGTAGTCTATTGTGTCCTCCACAAACAGAGTGGTACTCGTTTACGTACCTCGGGAGGAAGAATCACGAGTGATCTGGACCAAAATTCGAACTCAGGACGACGTTTCGGTTCTGAGTTCGATGCTGTGCCAACTGAACAACCCCGGTCAAGCCGAGCAACAGAAGGGATGTTAACCTTGTGCTAAACAGGTGCCCAAGCCTGCGAAGAAAGAGCAGTAACTGTCGATGCGCATCGAATGCTTCCTGCCAATCGTGGCCGTTACCGTTACAAGTAACGTCTCAGATGTCGACAGTGATCTAGCATTACAGCAAGACGTCGTAATTGCAAGTGATGTATCGGAGATGATTATAAACAGCCGCAACGATTACTCACGCCGATGCCCTGTTGGGCCATGGATTTTTTCCTTCCGTTCAGCTAAGGGGATCGACAGTTGGTGTGCAATCGAAAACGTTCGCTCGTTCGCAACTGACGCGACTTGTGAAGAAGAGGACGATACGACCTTAAGGGAGAAAACCGGAAACTGGACCTCGACACCCGGACGGCGAAACTATCAACCACCAGCTGTCGAGCGACGAAACTTGCCTGACGATCGCGTGGGGAAAAATTCGTCTGATCGTCTCCCACTGGTTTCGGCGGCGACGGCAATGAACTTTCTTGTAAAAGGATAATTTGTCAACGGTAGCACTCCATGCCAGGGAGTCAAACTTCGCTAATCTGGCAACCGATGCCTTTCAAATGTCGCTGGTCTTAGATCAATCAATCAATCAATGGTTTATTAACGTTGAGGACACAGTATTGCAGATGCCGAAACATTACACAGCCGTGCAGTGTTCGAATGAATCCCTGGACGCTTATGACCAAATGACGGTTACTGCAATGAGAAACCTGATTTACGAATATTCGTGAGCTACTTGTACAATATAGTTATTAACAGGGCAAAGATCATTCCCAGACACGGCAAAAAGTAACAATGTTTATAAAACTGTGCGACGCTTAATCTTAACTCAAATTGTTTAAAACAAACTGCTACTCTCGTTCTGGGTCTGTAACATTGACCGGAAACAATAACATGATCAGACACAAGATGGTCGAAAATCCACGCTCTTGCCGAAGAACAAAAACACAGAAGCTTGTTAGCTTAATGATCATCAGAGGTTTGAATGACGCAATCAAATGGTGCACTGGGTGGGCGAGATTCATTCAGACACCTTACACATCTGTGTTTAATGATTTACCTCAACATCAAAAAACAAGAACAGACTTTAAGCTGAACGAGGCTACCGCGTTGACCTTGCCTGCGTTTGTGACAGGGCCAACGAATTAATGAACTTCCATGCTTGGCTGAGTTACGGAAACTCCTGAACACACCGATGTCGCAACAGCAGTGTATATTCGCTAGAATCCCAAACACCTTCCTGATGACGTGTCGAGAAGAACGACCACTGGACAAAAGCAGCGAACGGCTCGAACGGGTCGCCAGTCAGATTAGCCATCACAGGATTCTCTGTGACCAGATCGCAAACGATACACAAAGATCAGTTTTGTGTTGTAATCAAGCTTTGCCTCATTCTTACTCCAACGGTGAAGAAAAGCAAAATCCTGCCTCAGTACTTCAGAATGGTGTACCGGTGGCTATTGTTTACCTGTTTACCTTACCATGACGATAGCGGCGGAGAGCATTCTTAGGCTAGTTTAACCATGCTACGAAGAAGCTAGGCTGCTAACCCAGAGCGGGGTCGATGTTCTTCGTGTGATACTTGAAATCAGCAAGTCTGAGTTGATAAAACACTCCATTACCAGTCCGGCCAAGGGACAACTGGGTCTTTCGCGACAAGCGACGTAAAATCAACTACAGAAAGGGAATATCACTTTTGATATCCGCTGTCGGCGTCCCCCCCTCCCCTCATATCGTGCATCATGAAACACACGCTGTTGCCTTGACGACGTATCCCGTAAAGCAGTAGCTGCAGCAGCGTTCTCTTTCGCGATACTCCTTCACCTCTTTTCGTGTGCAAATGTAACAAGGGAAGGGTCACGAATTTCCACTACGTTACTTGTCTCGTTGCACCCTCCCTTCGCATCGATGTTACCATCTATATTTCGATTATGTACTTCTTATTTTTGATAATGCGTTGTCCATTTTGCATGCCCACTGACCATGACAACAGACAACAGTGATAACAAGCGGTCACTGAATTTCTATTATCACTCTGAGACTTGAACCGCATCGTAAGAAGATGTTTGAAAACTGCAGCGTGCTAAAATAGAACCTCATCAATCATCAACTCCTGGGCATGAAGCACAGCAACTTAGCAAAGAAAAGCCGGGGTGAACAGATAAAAATGGCGCTCAGCTCAAATGAATGAAGGAAATAAAGCCGTAAGAGTCATGAGGATGCAGGGGACTGACTGACTGTTTGTTCTTTGAGTCGATGCTGTGGAGCTGAGACCGTACAAACAAGGAAAGAGGCGAAAATCAGTTGGAGGCACGTTGAACCGTTGATCGATAGTTCCTACGGCAGAAACGGATCATTCGTGATACACTATGGATTGGACCGGAAGATTTGCCACGACTTAAGCCTCAGACATCGATCTAAAAAAATCTCCATTAAGGCAAAGCCGTTTCGAAAGGCTTCTGCGTTTCAACTCGTCAGAACCCTCTGGCGTGGCTGTGTCGATCTGGCAACCGCACGAAATCAAAAACTCGTTTCGCCTCGTTGTGCCTCCGAAGCTCACACGGGATGAAAAATTATTTATGGCAGACAGACCGACCGAGCGACAGTCGAACAGGCAGATTTCAAAAGCCCATCCGCTATGGAAAATTACATGGAAACCGATGTTGCGCCTCATTAATTTCTGCACGTATAAAACTGATCCGCATGCGTTGTTAAAGCCGAAGCTCAGCGGCAAACTGCGACGCGTAAAATTTACGACCTAAACGTCTGTCAGCTGTCTGATTTGAGCGATGGTTGTGAGAAATTCAAAACGCTCGTCTGGTCGTTCGTCAAACCCCCCCCCCTCCCAAGCCACCTCCCGCGGGAAGACAGCCTCATGAAGTGATGGTAAAAATGCGAGGCGAAGTGAATGGCCTTATTGTTTAAAAAACATGCAAAAACCGTGAAACAAATTCTCATGAAGCTGACGTATTCGCAGAACAAGATTTTGTCACAAGCTTTGATATATTCTGACTGTGTAAACCGCCGCGACATATCGAAATGAAAACATTCATAAATTTCCGCTGACGCTTTTGCTACGAGGCTGCAAAACTGAGGCAGAGCGACAAAGTCCCTTGAAGATCTCTTAAGAATAACTTATCGCCTTATGGTTCAAATGTCAATTTCGACAATGCTCAATTGTGAGGGATTCAGCCAGAAGAACAAGCCGTCGAAAATGCTCACTCGCTATCAGCATTCTTCTAATGAGACACGTATGGTAATATGGTGTGCATGAAAACTGAACAACGCTGAACGAAACTAACGGATAGAAGATAACGTGTTGTCATCGTTATCCAGGATTACAGACCATGATGACGATGATGATTCCATTATCCAAAGAATAATGACGACCGACGGGATGGGTGGAATGGCTGGATTAACTGAAGCATCAGCTGTTACGACAAATGACACGGTTCTTGTCCGGACGCGAACAGATCTGCTTCTGCGATGTTGCGCCAATGCCTGACATCCGGGTATTCCGCCTACATTCGGGACATGTTCTGTATATTGCCATTGTTGCCATGAGTCACGCTGTTGAACCATGAACCACGACAGCCGCCAATGAAATTGTTGTTCGGAGAAGACGATCGCTCGAAATTCGGTGTGTTGCCACCGGATGTTCAGGATGCTTCGAAAGCAACGCCGTGGGAACCGGTTCAACCGATCTTCATGGCGCCGTAGGAGCCCCACAACTGTCTCCAGGCCATGTAGTAGTACGGAAAAGACCGCTATTTTCAAGACGGTGATTCTTCGTCTTCAACTACACTCTTCTGTCTTTCCATATCTCTCTCAGCTGTCCAAACGTGATGCTGCTAATCCTATGCATCGGTTGATATGCGGACCACAGCTGCCAGCTCGTTAGCCACGACGGAGCTGACAACGAGACGTCTGAAATCGATTTGATCGACTGTTTCCACGGTTGAGCCATTCTGCTGGATCTGCACGGCGTCCATCACAGCTGGTCTCTAATAGCGTTTGTCCTCGCTGTGTTGACCATCGGTCTCACATCGACCACCTTTCAGCACACACATGCAGTGACATACCGTAGGCCACTTCCGATGTCGTCCGCGTACTCCAGGTCGGTGAAGTGGACGGTCGGGACTCCGCAGCTTCTTCTTCACTTGAAAACAAAACCTTGTT